CTGGTTTCTTAGTAGCTATTTCTTGGTGAAGCTTGGGTGCTTTGGGGGTCAGTTGGTCGCTGGGCCTGCCCAGTCCCTCCAAACTGCCTCTGCCCCCCAAGTCAGGTTCTGGGTTGTAGAAAGGGGATCAGCCCCCATCCCAGCCTCACAGGCTTCCATCCTGACCTACTCCAGCCTCCAGAACCTGGAAGGGGGAGGCGCCCTTTCACTCCCAGAGGAGGTAAGGAACCACAGGGGAGGCTGGGCCTGTTTTTCTTTCCCGTGCAGGGCAGCTCTCCCCCGCCCATCTTCAAGTTGGCAGCTCAACACCAGAGCCTCATTCTGGTGCTAAAAATAGGCTGTGTTTAGACACTTTGAGGCTCCTGCTGGAAACATGAACTGCAGTAACCGAACACTGCCACTCCCACAAAGGGGGCCTCTCAGCCTCCTCCCTATGGAAGGAAGCTCACACCAGCCCTGGGAGGAAGGCAAAGTAGAGGTCGTCCACCACATTTAACAGATGGGGAAACTGAGGCTCTGCGAGGTGTCATGTAAAATGAAGAGGGATGAGTCGTGATAGCCAGCCCTGTGAATTGTCTCATTGAACCCTCCCCACACACCTGGGAGGGCCATTCTATGGTTTACTTAACTTTACAGAGAGAAGATGGCGGCTCAGAGAGATGAAGGCCCCTGTCTGGGCCTCACACCTGCAAGTGAGTGACAGGAGGGATTGTTAATACAATTATAATCCTCAACATGTTATGAACAAATTGAGACAGAGAGAAGTGGCTTGCTGAAGGCCAACAGTCCTCATCTCACCCAGGGTTGTAGACACATCATTTATGGATTGGGAAGAAACATCACACCTGCCTCGCAGCTATCCCCACAGGGGGAAATATGGGAGAATGTATTTAAAAAACCTTCAAACACAGTGTCCAGCATATAGTAGGTATTCAATAAACGCAGGTAATTTTGTTTCCCCATTCCCTTTGAGGCAGGATTTCTGTCTGGAGAGAGATGGCAGAAAGAGAGACAATGACAGATAGACTAAAGAGAGACTTGGAGAGACACAGACAGAGAGAGAGGTGAGAGAGAGAGAACAACAGATGGATGTGGGAGGCAGGGGAGTCTGGGATACCTCTGAGGAATTGAGGCTATGGCTCAACCAAATTCTGGAACTCCTGAACCCCAGAACCACCCAGTGCTGAATATCACAAGGTGCTGCCTCCACAGAGCCCCGGATTTGCAGTTCTCCAAGCTTGCCACCTGAGTGTTTTGGCCAGCGTGTGAAGCCATGGTTGTAGGTGTAAGCCCTGGGGGGATAAACCTGACTCTTTTTACTTGTTTTCTCTACCAGTGTTTCTTGGGACCCTCCTATGTACAAATAGCCTTATCGCCTCTATAAGGCTCAGATTCCAGGGGGTCTTCCTCCAGGTGAGCCCCCGCCTCCTCCTAGCACCCGGCAGGATGGTGTGGGGTGGCTCAGGTCAGCACCTTCCCTCCCCGGGAGGAAAGGGAGCTCTTAAATTTGGGGGTGCGCACAGCCCCTCCGGCAGATCTCCTTCGATTTCCACATCGCCCATGCCTCAGTCTCTTTCTGTTCCCTGCCAGCCCCTAACGAGCTCATTATCCTCTTAAAGCCCATTTGGCACCCACTTAGAGAAAAGATGTGTTGAAATAAAAGAACAGGGAGGGAACAACAAAAAAGGACTAGACCCAGAAATATCCTCGGAGAGGCAGAAAGCCACAGGGAACACTACAGCTGAAATCTTTGCTGTCTCCACGGCAGCAAATGTGCTGAGGTGGCAAATGGCTTTCAAGTGTCTGACGTGCCCGTGAGGGGGCGGGGGTGGGGCTTCTCTTGAGCATCTCCTGTGTGTCAGGTATTCCTCCTACAATGTTTAATTCAGTCCTTCCAGCAATATATTTTTTCAGGGAGAAGTCAAGATTCTTTAGGCCACTTTACAGGTGAGGAAGCTGAGTCTTGCTGAGTAGAGATGTCTTGCTCCAGTCAATCAGCTGCAGGATGGAAGAGGCAGGATTTGAACCCAGGTCTGCTTGTCTGTGGTGGAGTCCACCTCTGCTCTTGCCTAAAGGGCTGGTGTCCCCTTGCCCATCCCACGAGGACTGCTGGCGTTTTCTCATCCTAGCCCAGCTGCAGAAACATCTGGCACATGTGTTGGCGATCATGAAACCTCAGTGGATTCTCATGTGCATTGTTAAAACACAGTCCCGACTCCTGAGCTTGGCGTCCATGGCTTCCCACGGTCTGGCTCCTGCCCACTGCTTGGTTGTGTTCCTACCCCACAGTCCCCCGAGCTCCTTTGTTTCTTCCACCTCAGTGATGTGCTCTCATGTGGGCTGTTCCTCTTCCCTGGGCTAACCTTCTGTTGCTCCTTCACCCAGAGAATTCTGACTCCTTTTGCAAGACCTGCTGGCTCAAAGACTCCTCCCTGGGGAAGCCCTCTATGGTCCCCCCAGGCAGTTGCAGACCCTAGCTTCCCTGGGCTCCCGCATTCCATGGCTTCTCAACCCAAGATCCAACCCCCCCACCTTGATATTTTAAGCCAAATTCTGGGAGCTTATGTACAAGGGCTTTTTTTTTTTCTGGGCATACATCTGTAGTTGCCATGAGATGCTCAAAGTTACAAGACCAGAATAGACACACAGTTAGGAATATAGGTTTGAAGTCAGGTGGCCTTGGTTTACAACACTCCTGCCACTCGTGACCCCGAACACGTTACCTAATCTCTCTCATACTCATTCCCCTCTTGTGTAAAAATAGATGCATGTATCCCTCATAGAATTGTTTAAATCGGAGTATGTATTTGTGTAAAAGGATGTCTGGCATGTATTAAGTGCTCAATAAACATTATTAATGTTTAAATTAATATTGATTGCTTATCTGATCTTGTACACACATCTACTATGGAATTTATAATTGTCTATCTAGCATAGTGATTGTTTACATTGCTTTCTCCCTCAGTTGACTCTGAAGTCTCTGAAAGCAGGGACTGTGAATTATTTATTCCTGCATCTCAAGCACACACATAGTAGGTGATCAGCAAATGTTTTTAAATAAAGGAAGAATGAGTGGATAATTGAATGGTGGACAGTGAGGCAGATGGATGGATGGGCTGCTACAGTTCAGATGGATAGATGGATTAATGAATAGATTAATGGTAGGTGGATGGATGCCTTAATGAATAGATGGGTAGGTGAGCTGCTGGAAGACAAATGGATGGATGGATGGGTGGATGAATGGGTGGGTGAATGGATGGATGGCTTAATTAATGGATGGGAAGGTGGACTGCTGGATGACAGACGGATAGATGGATGGCTTAATGAATGGGCGGGTAGGTGGACTGCTGGATGACGGATGGATGGATGGGTGGATGGATGGATGGATGGTTGGCTTAATGAATGGATGGATAGGTGAACTGAAAGGATGGGCGATGGATAGATAGTTGGCCTAATGAATGGATGTGTATGTGGGCTGCCAGATGACAGACAGATGGATGGATAGATGGATAGATAGTTTGACTTTACATAGGCATGAATTTTTGTGTTTTGTTCACTTATTCCAAGTGCCTACAAAGGTGACTGGTGCGTAGTATGTACTCAGTACTTAGTTCTTGAACAAATGGGGTGGCAGACTCTGCATCAAATCACAGTTAAATGCCCATGCTACTGTCTGGATTAGCAGAGGCTGTTATAATTCATTTCTTCCATTGGCTGACTACAGAATCTTAGGCGTTGCCTAAGATGGTCATGGGGCCCCCTGCTGGTGGTAATATGAAAAAACATCGCCTAAATGGAGTTTTCTGTTTTCTAATTTACGTTCTATTTTTCCTCTTGACTGATAATCCTGAACATTTACTCATAAAGCTGTAGCTGTCAACCCTCTGTGCTCATTACTGCTATCTGAGAGCACCTTGTTACAGCTGTAGGTTTCCCCCTCAACCATTCTGGTTAGAAAGGTTAGGGATCTATATTCACCAGGCTCTCAGGTGGTTCTGAATCAGTTGTTTCTCAGACCCAGACCTGAGAGACCCTGACAAAGAGTAAGCCATGTTGGTAACTGGGTGGCAGTGAGGATGGGCTACTGTTTTGGGAGCTGTCTCTGAGTTCTCAAGTGATGTCTAGACTGTGGGAAAGAGGCAGAGCCAAAGAGGCACTGGTTAAGAGCTGTGATTTGCAATTTGGACTGTCCTGGGTTCAAATCCCAGCTCCATCACTCACCAGCTGTGTGACCTCAGTTTCCACATCTGTAAAGCAGGGAAATAGTTACCTCCCATAGGAATGTTGGGAGGAATAAATGAGACAATAAGTGTAGACGGCTGGGCACAAAGCTGAGCACATGGTAGACACTCAATAAACACTGAATGAACAAATACTCTGCAAAATATCCCTACTCTCCCTCTTTGTCCTTTTCTTCTTTGGAGAGAGGAGACGGGCTATGGATTATATTTCTCCCACTAGAATGTAAGTGCTATGAAAGAGGGGATTTTGTCTCTCCTGCTTGCAGCTTTATTTCTAGCACCTAGGACAGTGCCTCACACAAAGTGGGTCTCGCTGAATATTTGTTGGGAAAAATAAAATGACTGAATCTGGTCTGGTTCAAAATCGCCCAGGTTCAGCAGGTAGTTCAGCAAGGACCTTGGAAGTACTTTTTGGACTTGAGGTAATCCATGGATCAATGTATATTTGATAAACGTATAGGAAATATGGAGCAAAGCAAACCACTAGCCCATAGCTTGTCCAGGACAAAGTGTGTCACCAAACTAGGGCCCACTAGGATCCAGGCCCCCACACTCCCAGTTTGGTTTCAAGAAAAAGGCAGTGTTCTAGAAGACGCAAGGATGCTCTTTATCCAGCACTGCTCTTAAGCCCTTTTGTGCCATTGGTGGTTTCCTCCCCTCTCTGGGCCTCTGCATTTCCCTCCAGGATCCTTAAGAAGCCTGTGGGTTCTGTGCTTTGGTGAAGGGGCTTCTCATGCCTGTGTCTCTGCTGTTTTGCAGGTAGCGGCACTGAGTCCTGATGCCTGACTGGATGGAAGCCTGTCAGCTTCTGTTCCCATGAGGTAGAAAGGCCTTGGTCTTCAGCGGGGGAAGAGGCCAGAAACAAGGACCCCGATGAAAGAACCCAGATCCATTGGTCTGAGAAGCAGAGGAAGGGCAAGAAGTGAGCTGCAGCTGCTAGTGAGCCTCAGAAAACTCCAACTGCTATTCTCACCGTTCTTTGGGAACACTCTGAAGTGAAGAGCAATATGTAGGAAAATGGGACCGACTCATGTGTGTCCTGAGCCTCAAAACCCCTTTCTTGGCCCAAAGAAGCTCACCTTGACTTTGGGAGGGCAGGTAAGCTCCGTCCTTCCTCATGGCCTCAGCCAAGCTTTGAACTTGCCCTCCCCTTCTGGCCTTGGCGGTTACTTTTTCAGGAAGAGTGAGACTGAGGACCCCCAAGTGTTCCATCCCTAAAAAAAGCTTGGGAAACCAAGCCCCTTCCATCCCCTCCCAAGCACCCCAGCCAAGCCCCAGAGAGCCAGTCCGGAATGATCCCGCTATGGCCAAGCTCTGGTTCAAATTCCAGCGGTACTTCCGCCGGAAACCTGTGCGCTTCTTTACCTTCCTGGCACTCTACCTGACTGCCGGGAGCCTCGTCTTCCTTCACTCTGGCTTTGTGGGCCAGCCCGCCGTCTCGGAGAACCAGGCGAACCCCGCCGCCGCAGGAGGCCTGGCTGAGGGTGCTGAGCTGCCCTTCCTGGGCGACATGCATCTGGGCAGAGGCTTCCGGGACACAGGTGAAGCCTCAAGCATGGCTCGCAGGTACGGACCCTGGTTCAAGGGCAAGGATGGGAATGAGAGAGCCAAGCTTGGCGACTACGGTGGAGCCTGGAGCCGAGCCCTCAAGGGGAGGGTCGTCCGGGAGAAGGAGGAAGAGCGAGGTAAGAGCGAGGAAATTCTGGACACTGAGTGGCCGGGGAGAAGGGAGGAGACACTAATAATACAGTAAGAGTTGTCAGTTTTCCGTATTTAATAGGAACCAGCTGTCATATAGTTGTAGCTATGAATAGACAGTACATCCCAATATCATCTGCATTGCACAGAGGAGAAAATGGAAGCTCAGAGAGATGAAGCAACTAGCCCAAGGTCACACAGCTTGTCGCCAGGCAAGTTTGGATTTGGACTCCACATCGATCAGAGGTCAAAGTCTGCCTCTCCCCTGCAGCATTTCACAGTCCTTGTTAAATAGATGTGTAAATAAAAACAGTCAGCATTTACTGGGTACTTACTAAGCACCAAGTACTGTTTCCAAGTAGTTTACATATATAGAAATGTCACCACAACTCTAGGTGATAGACGTTATTTATTCCCATTTTAAAGATGAGGAAACTGAGGGACCGGGTACCAAGAGCACAACATTTCATAGCTAAGTGGCAGAGCTTCTGCTCCACCAGACTGTCTCTCAGTCCACCTTGCTGGGTCCCTTGGTGATGGTTCTCAGGGGATATCATTGCCATGGATAGATTTCATTGCATTTTCTCTGCTGTTTATAATCTAAAAAGGCTTTTCTTCGTGAGTGCATTACTTTATTTGATTTTCACTACACCTCATGGGCTTAAACAAGGCCTCTATGATCCTGTGCCCAGTTAACAGATGTGGAAACTGAGGCTCGAAGAAGGGAAGACACTTGTCCAAAGCTGTGCAGTGGCAGGAACAGAGTTTAGATCTGATCCATCTGGCCTGAATGCCCAGTTCTCTAAGGCGGTCCCCCAGAGTCCACTGGAATCTACTCATCCAACCACCATGATAGGGAGGAACCCACAACCCCTACAATTCATGAGATTAACACAAATGGACATTTTGGAAATCTGGGCCAGATGGTTTGGGAGAATAAACCACCAATCAAGGCAGATGGAAAACTTCACTAGCCTTTGTGTTCTACTGTGATTCAACTCATAAAAAAAACTCTTCTCCTACCATGGAAGGAAGCAGGATTAATGGAAGGGATTCATCTTGGAGCACATTCTCCTGCCCCAGTCCTTCCCCCACCTGGCCTAGGATAGAGTCTTCTAGATAGAATCTGAGTCTTCTAGATAAAATCTGCCCTCAGGAATTTCCTAGACTTGTGCTTCTTCAAGAACCCAACATTCACAGGGAGGCAAAGGAGGTGTTGGAGGTAGCAGAATGGACAGGGATGTGGATTTATATTCCAGCTCCAGTCCCACCATCCATGTGGCCCAGGCAAATGGTTTTACCTTCTCAGGCCTCAGTTTTGAAATCTGTAAAATGGGGATTTTACTGGCTGCTCCTGAGAGCTCAATGAGACAGGGGTCATGAAAGCCTAGCACCAAGTAGGTGCTTAGAGGTGCTCAGAAAGTGCTCCTGGGATCTCCCTGGGGAAGGGAGATCATCTTATAGCATGCTAGGGAGATTATAGGTATAGGTGAGGTGTGAGGTGCTGCACCTCAGCCACTCCAACTCCATTTTGGCCTTTGAAAGCTCCAAAGTTCTCGTCACCCTACACCTTGAGATATGCTCCCTATCATGCTTAGGACAAATTCCAGACCCCTCGCATAGTCCAACTCTCCAACCTCATCTTGTAACACCACTGCCTTCGCCATGCTCTGCCCCACTGTCCTTGCAGTTCATTGAACACACTAAGCCTGTTTTACCTTAAGATCTCTGTATATGTAGTGCCTTTTATCTGGGATGAGCTCTCCCCAGATCTTTGCCTAGCTCCCTTCTTCCTTTCTTTCAAGTCTTCAAGCAAACATTGCCTTTCCATAGAGACCATCCCAGAACATCCCTACTCAAATAACCTGACTTCCTACCCAGTCACAACCACATTCCCTGACTCTATTTTCATCATAACATCACCATCAGAAAGTGTCTCATTTATGTGTTTGCCTCTTTGTTGAAGGTCAGCCTCTTCTACCGGACTGTCAGCGCCACGAGGGCAAGGCTGTTGCCTGTCCTGCGGGTCTGTGTTCTATCAGCACCCAGGACAGCACCTGGCTCAGAGCTGTTTCTTAACACCTATTTGTTGAATGGGTGAATGATTGGATGAATAAATGAATGAATGACTATCCCTCTGCCTGGAGTACCTCTACAGGGTTAGCTCTACTCTTCCTCCAAATCCTAACTTTGCTAATCTTCAAGAAATTGTCCCTGATCCCCTTACAGGTTTGATCAAATGCTCCTCCACTATGCTCCCCGGCATGGCCCTTATATGAATGGCAATTGTGTATGTTTGTCCATGCCCGCTATTAGAATATTAATTCCTTGTGGTGTAGATGATGCAGAAACAACAACATCTCTCATTTGTTGTGAGAATGAAATACTGCCATCAATACTGCTAATAATAATTACCATTTCTTGAGTACCTACTTCACACCAACCACTTGTCTATTTGCTTTTCATGTATTGTTTGAATGAAATGATATATGTAACATGCTTATCCTATCCTCTGGCTCATAATAATAGGTCACTTAATAGTTGCTGTCCTTATTTGTAGTAATATTAGCTAATATCTACTGAATGATCATTACAGGCTAGACCATGTTATGCATTTCATAGCCTCATTTAATTACCACAACTCACTAAATTAGGGATTGTTATGCCATTTCACAGATAGCAAAACTGAGATCCAGAAAGAAATCACTTACCCTGCATTATACAGGTCACTAGTGGAGGAACTGAAGTTTAAGACAAGGTCTCTTTAATTCCAAAGCTTGTGAGCATTCTTCTATGCCATGCTAATTGCACCCCCACCATGCCTTGCCCAGCAATCATATATTCCATTTTTTGGAAGTGCAGAGAGAAGGAAGAGAAAATAACAGCATAGCCCTGAGCCCAGGGCTCTCAGCAGACAGCCTTTGGAATCAGGCAGTGTTATTAAGAAAACACAAATCCATCCTGTCCTTGATTAACTTATTCAGAGTTCAGCAAGGAAAGACAACATATTAGATTCACACTAATAAAAACGAGACGCTTCTCCGACCTGATGCTAAGCACATTTGGTTTTCTCCAAAGTTGGCGAGGGCTCTGCTTGATGCAGCGATCCAGGACTCAAGCTGTAGAGGGTTCAGAGCCCATCATGGCCTGGGGGTGGGAGGGAAGAGCTGCACTCAGGCTGGGCTGAGGCTGGGCAGGAGTCTGAATTCCTTGGTGCAACTGGCACCTACCATGTACCAGTCATTTACCTAGGACTCTCTGGATTCACATGGCCATGTGAGAGCCTGCACTTTGAGCAGCCAAATCAGGGTTCAGATCGCAGTTCTGCAACTTGCTGGCTGTGCAGCCTTGGGCAGGCCGCTTCACCTTTCTGACACTCAGTTTTGTCTTTAGGATAAAAAGTACTTAACATCAGGTGATGTCACCATCAGAATGATTACATAAGGTGAATCCAGTGTGTGCTCTCTGAGTACCAGGTGCTATTCAAAGCATTTACATCTATTACATCACATAATCTTCATAATAATGAAATAACATAGACACTGTTATTAACTCCATCTTATAGGAAGGAAACTCAGGCACAAAGAAGTTAAGTAACTTGCCCAAGATTACTCAGCTGGAGGAGGGAGCACACTAGTAAGTAAACCAGGTGTTGTGTCTTACACCTGAACCTTAACCACTCCATCACATCACTTCTCAGTGCACAGAAAGTACATGCCAGCTATTATTATTATTATTATTTTGAGATGGAGTTTCACACTTGTTGTCCAGGCTGTAGTGCAGTGGCATGATCTTGGCTCACTGCAACATCCACCTCCCTGGTTCAAGCAATTCTCCTGCCTCAGTCTCCCAAGTAGCTGGGATCACAGGCACACACCACCATGTCCAGCTAATTTTGTATTTTTTAGTAGAGACGGGGTTTCTCCATGTCGGTCAGGCTGGTCTCGAACTCCCAACCTCAGGTGATTCTCCCGCCTTGGCCTCCCAAAGTGCTGGGATTACAGGTGTGAGCCACCACGCCTGGACTATTATTATGATAATAAGCTGGCACACCACCTTAATACAGGCCAGGCATTATTATTTATACTGTAATTTTGCAGGAGAAAGTGGAGAAATAGAGGTAATGTGACACAGCTAGTCTGGGGCAGAGCCAGAAGCCAAACCCACTTTGACTTCAAAAGCTGTTCTGCTTCTATTTCCATGAGATTACAGACAGGCTTGGGCTGAGTGTGAAGGTGGCCATGAAAAGATTTAGTCTGCATTTTTTGGAAGGACAGCAGGGGCATCCACTCCTCATCTTCTCCAGCTGAAGATGCAAGGGCTGCAGGTTACTGAGGTGCTCTGTGTCAGGGACTGTTTGTCCATATTCTCCTTTCAGCTTCATATCAGGTAAAAATATCAAGTGTCATTTCACAGATGAAGAAACAGAGGCTCAGAGAGGTTCAATTATTTGCCCAGTATCACACAGCTGCTAGGAGGCAGAGCTGACTCCAGCCCAATTTGATCAGAGTCCAAAGCCCTTATTCTTAACCACTGGACTTACTTATACTACCTCTTTCTTAAAATATACGATTTCTAACTCTATTTGTTCATTCATTCATTCATTCATTCATTCCATATTTATCAAACACCTACTACGTGTCCAGATCTTTGCTGGGAGGTGGAGACACAGGAATGATTCAAGCACAGGTTGTGAATATTCCTCAGAGGAAAAAAGCTGTGCTTTTCCCCATTATAATATCTTTTCATTTATTAAAAATTCTTCCACAATAAGTCAAAATTATTTCTAATTTTAAAAAATAATGGACAATACTAAGAAAATCTAGAAAAGTTTTGAGGGACCCCAAAGGAGGGACCCCCTTCGGTCATGGGGTATCACAGCTGGCTTCCTGGGGAAGAAGAGGGGTGAGTTTAGTTTGTAGGATCCTTACACCTTGGCCAAACTGAGTGGTCATCCCTCCTGCCCCAGGAAAGCCTAGATATGAGCAGGAAGTTCCGCCACCAATGCAAGGAAACCTGGGCAGCACTGGGTGGTCTTCCGGAGGGACCACCTTCCAGGGTTCCAGAGAATCCCCAGAAGGAGAAAAATTATTTTTTGTGTCTTCCTTCTGTGCCAGACTCTGTGCTAGGCTCAATGCCCCAAATTAATGTTACTTAGGTCACTCTCAACAATACTTTTGTATTAGCTTTCTCAGGCTGCAATAACAAAGTATCATACACTGGGTGGCTTGAACAACAGATCTCCATTCTCTCACAGTTCTGGAGGCCAGAAGTCTGAAGTCAGGGTGTTGGCAGAGCTCTCAAAGGCTCAAGGGGAGACTCTGTTCCGTGCCTTTCTCCCGGCTTCTGGTGTTCCCGGCCATCCTCGGCACCCCCTGGCTTGCAGCCACATCACCCCAACCTCTGCTTCCGTTTTCACATGACCATCTCCTTTGTGTCTGTGTCTTCACATAGCCTTCAGCTGCCTCTGTGCCTTCATATAGCCATCTTCTGACAAGGACCCCAGTCACATTGGATTGGGACCCAACCTACTCCAGTTTAGCTTCATAATGTAATTCCATCTGCAATGACTCTATTTCCAAATAAGGCCACATTCTAAGGAATTGGGAGTTAAGACTAACATGTCACTTTGGGTGGGGGGAGACAGGGCACACAATTCAGTCTAACAACCCTAGTAGAATTTTTGCTCTCACTTTTCGGGTGGAGAACTGCTCCTCCAAGAGCTTGAATAATATTTGAGGCTATTGCAGCATCATATGTGGGATTCAAACCTAGATCTGGTTGACTCCAGTACAGCGTGAGGCCTCCTGTTCGTGAATCTGTTCACAAACTATAAATCAAAGGCATACAGATTAGTTCATATTTAGCTACCCTGTTAACAAATCACCTTTATCGAAGAGAGCAAAATTTCAGGAAAAGATTAATTGTAGTAAAAGAAAAAAGTAAAGGAAAAAAAGCTCCACCAGGAGGGTTCTTTTTAGATGTTGGTTTCTGTTCTGGAGATAAATAGCAGCTGGGGTGACTTTGCCATTTCAGCACTCTTCGGATGGCTCTGGAGACGAGCTGATAGATTATGTGAACTTGGCCATTAATCCACCCTCAAATGGTCTGTGATTTTGTCCATGTTTTACATATCTGACCTCCTGTCTCCAAGAGATTCTGCTACCACAGCAGGATTTGAAGGTGGAGGAGCCCAGAGGAATGGCTAGAGAGGATTTTAAAAGGCTGGCAGTAACCACACTAACTCTGGGGACAGGGACCACGGTCTTCATGCAGCCTGCACCAAAGGTCCATGGGATGGAGTCACCAGATCTTGCCCAGGGCAGGAAGGAAACTGACTCAATATTGATATCCTGATCCATACAGCTCAGCCCATTAATCGGGCCATGATGCATAACATGCCTGCGTTTTCCAAAAGCATTAACAAAGGACCATGTATCTTCCTCTCCCTCCTGTTGACAGATAAGGAAACAGAGGGTCATTCATTCATTCAACAAGTCTTTGAGCACCTGTTGTATGGGACATCTCAGCCTGATGCCTGGTCCGGTGGGAGGGTGAAGAAGGGGATAGAGCACTATTTAAAAGCCCCAGTTTATAAAAAAAGAAGATCATGCTTCTTGCAGGAGCATGGGTGGAGCTGAAAGCCATTATTCTTAGCAAACTAATGCAAGAACAAAAAAACAAATACCGCATGTTCTCACTTATTAGAGGGAGCCAACTGGTGAGAACACATGGACACAAGGAGGGGAACTACAGACACTGGGAACTACTTGAAGGTGCAGGGTGGGAGGAGGGAGAAGAGGAGGAAAGAAATAACTGTTGGGCATTACGCTTAATACCTGGGTGATAAAACCATCTGCACAACAAACCCTGCGACATGAGTTTACCTATATAACAAACCTGCACATGTACCCAGCACTTAAAATAAAGCTTAAAAATAAATAACTAAAAGCCTAAGCTTTGGGGAAGATGGAACTATGGTAAAAATCCCAGATCTTCTCCCAAGGAACCGCCCTACTTCCCAGCTCCACCCTACTCCTGGGCAGGTCTCTCTGGGGAGACACCTCCTCCCAAGCTTGGACTCAGTGTGGCACATAGGAAGGGGCAGCTTTGAATAGACAGAGCTGGGCATGGATTTGGCCAGAGACCCTCACTGTGGGGTGCAAGTTGCTAGGCTTGATTATCAATGTAATAGTTTGCCCCCCACCCCCACTTCCCATGGCACCAAGGGACAAAAATCCAGCTTGAAACAGCTTACACTAAAGAAGAAAATACATTGTGTCATGTCATCAAACTACATGGGTTCATAAGAAGTTTGTGAAGACTGAATTTTTTAAAAAGGAGACATGGCGCATAGTAAAGTAGATAGCACATAGTAGGTGTTCAAAACATGATAGTTTTGTCTCCTCTGTTTCTGCCTCCTCTCTCTCTCTCTCTCTCTCTCTCACACACACACACACACACACACACACACACACACACACACACACATCTGTTGATCTGATGACATGACCTCAGACTATCAAAATAAACCAACGTTTTCCTCTCTTCCCTTCCCTTTCCCCACTCCACCATATCTCCTTTTCTTCCTTCTCCTTCTCCCTTCAGCTCCTATTTTTCCCTCCTGCCTATCCTACGGTACATGTTAGACACTCAGTCCTCTAGGGAAGACTGAACTGAAGTTAGTGTGCAGCCCTTGCCCACATGGCCACAAAGTGCCCTCTCCCAGCTCAGGTATGAATAGCATTTGTGCCCCAAGTCAAGGGCTATGACTCCATCTGTGGTGGGAGGGGCACGCGCTGTTGAACAACCACAGAGACAAGACCTGGGCTTCTCTGGGGCTGTCAGTGTCTGGCGTGCCTGCTCCAGGGAGGCAATGTTTCTTTTAAAGGTGGACTGTTCTTAGTCGAGCAAATCACCTCTGTTTTATGAAGGAAATTCAAAGTGATCAGGTCAAGACACGTCTCCAGCGAGGCTGAAAATACAGTGCACTCAGCAGAGCCCCATCTAGGGGTGCGATTGCTCAGTAATGAACCTGCGTTCTCTGCTAGATCATGCTCTCTACCACAAGTAAGCAGGGAAAGAAGCTCACAATTTAAACGAGATAGCTGCCTAGCCAAGGAAGTGATTAAGTGGAATTTAGTGTTTTCTTCAATCATTCCCTATAAGGGACACTTAATTCCAAGTGCTGGCTGGATCCTCTGTCTGATCTCTAGTAAGTGATTTGGGGGTCTCATGGGCCTGGATTTAAACCTTCATTCTGTGAACAATTAGCTGTAGGCCTTAGGGAGGCCACTGCACCTTTCTGGACCTCTGTTAAATCATCTAAGATAAGAGCATGACAATGTCAATGTTCTCCACTTCACGTGGGGGCATTACAAAGATCCTCTGACTCAAAAAGTAAGCAGTTCAGAACACAGCCTCTGGAGCCAGGTCACTTGGCTTCAATTCTGAATCCACACATATGAGCTGTGTTACTTTGAGCAAGTGACTTAACTTCTCTGGGCCATTTTCTCTTCTGTATAAAATGGTAATAATATTCTCATAGGATCATTGTAAGGATGCAAGGAGACAATATATATATATAATGCACTTACCAAAGTGAATGTCCAAATAATAGTAATAATTTCTAAAACATATGGGAAAAGACATTATAAACTGTGAGTTTAAAGACACTATAAACAGCTGTTTTCATGTATGGGAGTTACTATTTACCATAAAGCATAGGAAAATGTTGACTACTTTAAGAAAACTAAGTGCATGCTTTATAATTGGATGGTTATTTTACATCGTTTAAAATTTTCCTTTGAATGGAAACATTCACCTTGCCCTACAATAGAGGCAAACTGTAAAGTACTTTCCACAGCACTGTGAATGGTCAGTTTCTTACTCTACTCACCTTAATTTGATGCCTATCATATGCAAGGCACTATGATAGAAACTTTTACATAAATCATTCTATTTTAACCTCACTAGATTGTTATTTTTGTTCCTGATTCAAGTAAAACTAGGTCTCTGAGGGGTTAACTGGCTTAGACTTAACAGGTCCATGCTAGGAAGTAACCAAAATGAAATGAGGACCTAGACCTTAAGATAGCCAAGTCCAGGGTGCTTTCCAGGGAAAAATAAATGTCTTAAGGCAGCTTGTAGAAATGGTAACACGTTGTCAAATGTTGAGCCTTTTAGAGCTGTCTGAATGCAAGAAAGGGGAAGCTCTATTTGGTGCTTAAGGAGTGGCCTTGGCTTGGGTTCCTGGATGTTCAGCTGTCACCAGGTGACCTCAAGGGCTTGGCTGCAGCCCACAGAAGGGTCCCTCCTCTGTGTTGGTCTCAACTGCCCTGATTAGACCAGGTTCTGCCAAGACAAATGACTTTCAGTCTCTCATTTCTGCCCAAAGGAAGGGCTTGACATTCAAAGGTCAACAGGGTCACATAACCAGAGACATATTGGTGAGGTTTCCTCCTTTAACCCTTACAGCTTTGTCCCCAGCCACCTCTGACTTTTTCCTTTCCCCAAAGCCAAGTACATCGGCTGCTACCTGGACGACACCCAGAGTCGGGCCCTTCGAGGAGTGTCCTTTTTTGACTACAAAAAGATGACCATCTTCCGTTGCCAGGACAACTGTGCTGAACGGTAGGGTCCCAGCACCCCAGACTTGTCCATTTCAGGCCCTTCCTTCTCAGATTGCTGCCTGTGGTATTCTTTGCCCTGCTATGGGAGGGTGTGTTGAACGGTGAGCATGTGACCACAAGGAAAGGGTGATGCAAGGGTGTGTGTGTGTTGTGTGTGTGTGCATTGTGTGACTGTGCACATGCACACAACTGGGGACTGTTTGAGAGTTGGTCTATGAGAGTTTGTGACTGCAACTGTGTCACATTGTGTCTAGGAACAATTTTGGAGCATACAGGGTACAGAGTCAGCTAGTTGTGTTTGTGAGCTTAATGCCAACATGCAATGATCTTCAAATAATAGTGGCCGTATATGCAGGAGTCTTTGTAAAAATGTGTAAAAGGACCCAGAATTGTGCTTGTGTGTGTAGGTGTCTGATTGCATTTGTTGAATGTTCAACACTGTGTTGAGAGCATGCAAGGCTGTGAAGAATTGCACACGACTTAGAAATGCATCATTAGGTGTGCGCATGTGTGTGCAGATGAGGGCTGTAAGCATGAAGCTTGTAAGATGTCCACATGAAGGGTAAGGTGGGGGCATCTAATGGTTTGTCAAAATATAAACTCCTTATTTTTCTCCGAGAGAGAGACACTCGCCTGTTCAGACAGTATTTTCCAATCTAAGATGATGATGATTTTTAGACATGCACTGGGAGTAGGGGGAGGGAGTTGACATTTTGAGAGTGGACAAGTCCCCAGAGGCCTGGTGAACAGGGACAAAACCCCTGGGGGCACCATGGGGTTGAGCTGAGCTTCTCTCCTTCTTTCTTGGGCCCCTTGACCTTGGAGTAGCTCATGAAGAGGCTCTCATATGCTTACCTCCAGGCTCCAGCCAGCTGCCTCTGATGGTCACAAGTTCTGCCAACCTCAGCTGCATGCCTGGTGTGGAAATGGGCAAGTGGGTGGCCACTGAGAGACTCTTCCTGCTGTTCTTGATTAGGAAACACTGTCCCCTTTATAATCAACTGCCTGGGGAGCCCTCTATTAAAATCCTGAGCCCAGGACCCACTCCAACTTGAAAAGGATTCCAAGTCTTTGGTAATATGAAGTCAATAAGTTATCTGTCAAACTTGGGGGCAGGGGAGCAGAGGAAACAGAGGTGGAGTCCACACAGCCCCTGGCCTTAAAGAGCTTACAGCCTGCAAGGGGAGACAAATATGTAAACAGAGAGGGATAACACAGTCAGATAAGATGGAAGAATCACAGACAGTTAGACAAGCAGACTAGGGCTAAGCTGCCTGGGGTGAAAGGAAATACTTCTCAGAGAAAGATAACAGCCAAGATGAGTCAGAGCTACTCATGTAATTCAGTTGGGTTCAGCAAATATTTGCTGACTGCCCATGGGTGCTGGACCTGATTCCAGGTGCTGGAGATGCAGAGATGAGCCACCCACAGCCCTGTCCTCAGGGGGTTTCCCATCTGGACGGGGAGATAGAGGCATGAATAATAGGTGTGGGCAGTAGAATAACAATAGCTTACAATAGTTAAAAAGCACTTGTTCTGTGCCAGGCACTGTCAGCATTTTGCAAATATTAACTCCTCAACTTCACAAGACCCCTATGAGGTAGCAATGTTATGAGCCACATTCCGCAGATGAGGAAACCAAGGTACAGAGACATTATAGATAATGGGTGCTGGGGGGGATGTGCTTTGCAAAGTGCAGAAAAGTCAAGAAGATGGAAGGGATGGAGGGCTCCACGAAGAGGGTACAGGAAGAGTTATCGAGGTGAGACCATAAGCTGGGTTTTGAAGGATGAGTAGGAGTTTTTTAGGTAGGGCAGAAGTAACAGCATGCTCAAAGGCCAGGACTCCTGAAATATACTCACTCAGGATCCTCAGGTAGGCAGCATGGGAGTGCTCAGAAGGTACAAAGGGAGTGTCAGCATGGAAAGCCACAGAGGTGCCAAAAGCCCAGTGAAACAGGGCCTTGAGAGCCAACTACAGCATCCAGATTTGACCTGGAGGGCAATGGGGAGCCGCTTCAAGGCGTCTATCAAGGAAGGGGTCTACATTCATTCCGTGAATGTGTATTAATCATCTGTCATATGCCAGGCATTGTCCCAGGATAGCTGGGCAAGACCACAGGGTCACCGCCCTCCTGGAGACTATATTCTAGAGAAAAAGGCAGGCAATTTACAAAATACATTAGAAATCACTAAGATCATTTCAAAAGTGATGAGAGCCGGAAGAAACTAAAACGGAGTGATGGGATAGTGCCCAGCGAGAAAGGTAACATTCGGTGAGACAGTCAGTGAAGGATTCTCTAGGAAGATGACTGAGCCCAGACCTGGAAGGTAAAAAGAAGCCAACCATGCAAACAGCAGAGGAAGAGTGCTTCAGGCAGAGAAACAGCCAGGACAAAGGCCTTGAGGAGGACTCAATTCAGCGTGCTTAAAGATCAGAAAGCCCATGACTTCAGCAGAATTGGCCTTCAGCATCCTCCAGCAGAAGGCTGGTGGGCATCTTAGTCTGTTTGGGATGTTAAACAAAATGCCTTAGACTGGGTAATTTATATGCAACAGAAATTTATTGCTTGCAGTCCTAGAGGCTGGGAAGTTCAAGATCAAGGTGCCAATAGATTTGGTATCTGGTGAGTGCCCACTCTCTGCTTCAAAGATGGTGTCTTGCTGCTGTGTCCTCCCATGGCAGAAGAGCAAAAGTACTCCCTCAAGCCTCTTTTATGGGTTCCCCTGCACCTCAGTTCTCCTCCGTCTCAGACTTTGTTTTTCCTACTCCTGGAGCCAGAGCAAGCAATGCTCTTTTCATTTGTTTACAGAGTGGGGTAGACACTAAGAGCCCATTTCAGTAAAGGATTCCATCACTACGAAAAATTTCAAAAAAAAACTTGAAAAGCTTGCAGTGCCTGGATTTTTAGTTTGAGGAATTTTCCTTGGCTGAATGTGTGAGCCCATTTTTGTCCTCCCGCAAAGGGGTGTGAGAGTCCCTGCCTCCTTGAGGAGCGCCCTGTGCCTCCTTCCCTCACCCTAGCTCCTCTCATGGGACAAGGAGGCACCATTCCTGGGTGATGTTTCCAGGGATAAAGGAGCTGCACTCTGGAGAGATGAATGTCTCAGGTTTCCAGACAGGGAAGAGCAAGAAAGAGAGTGTGGTATGGGAGGCCACAGGATCTGGGATGTGTGTGTATCTCCAAGTGCAGGCGTGTACAGGAGAGTGTGAATATGGACATGGTGTGTCTTTGTGGGTAGGTGTAGAAAGGTGGAGATGAAGGATGGTGGATGGTCCCTGGGTGTTCCTGTCCCCTCTCTGGGTCGCCCTGTCCTCTAGGGGCCTACCTATATTCTTTCTTGGCTTTCCTGCCTCCATACTGCTCCCCTGCAAGGCTAACTCTGTAGCCTCCCTGACTCCTTTTGGGGTCTCCTTATCCCAGACCCATATCCCCCTGCCCCATGGAGCATGCCTGTCTCACAGATCTGAGAGTCTCCCTGCCCACCTCAGGGTCTCCCCTGCCCTCTTTCCAGGGTTTCCTGTGTGCTACCTCCCTAATCTCATTTCTTTGGGGCCCCCTGTCTCCTGAAAGCCCTCATCCCCCAGGTCTCCATAATGGATAGGTCTCCTGTCCCCTGAGGTCTCTCCTGTCCCCTGGGGTCCTCCCAGTTGCCTCCACCTCCCATCGGCAGTCTCCCCATTTCCCTTGGGATCTCCTGGTCCCCAGAGCCCTCCCATCCCCCAGGTCTCCACATTGAGTTTCCCTGTCTTGGGGTCTCCATGGTGGCAGCCACCCTGCTTGACAGCAGCCTCCCCCAGGGGTTACCTGTATGCCGGGCTGGAGTTCGGCGCCGAGTGCTACTGTGGCCACAAGATCCAGGCGGTGAACGTGAGCGAGGCAGAGTGCGACATGGAGTGCAAGGGCGAGAGAGGCAGCGTGTGCGGCGGCGCCAACCACCTCTCCGTCTACCGGCTGCAGCTGGCCCAGGAGTCAGCCCGCAGGTGTACGTGAGTCTGCCCTGCCCCTCTCTGCTGCTCCTCCCTCGGCTGCAGTCCTTGCTCACCAGAGTTAAGAGTACCACATGTCCGCCCTGCACCCTCCATGGCTCCCCATCACTCCAAGGCCACCACCATCCTGCCCCAGCCTCACCTCTCCCAGTCCCTCGCGGAGCCCTCTGCCCCAGCTCCTTTGAATAGTCCCGCACGTGATTCTCTCTCCCTCCCACTACGCTGAGCTGCCTCTGGTACCAGTGCATCCCTCATTCTCACCAGTCTTCCTCCTTCTGAAACTGAGTTGGAGCCTGGGCCTTGCCTTCCCATCCTGATTTTCGCAGAGCAGATTGTCTCTAACGGTGATGATGATGGTAATGACAATAGCAAACACTTTGTCCTTTTCTCCATGCCTCATATAGAATAGCACATCTAATCTTCACAATGACCCTTGACACAGGTACTATTGTTTACTTATTCCCATTTTACAGATGAGGAAACTGAGTTCTCAATGTCACAAAGCTTGTAAGCAGCAGAGAATTTAAACCAACTCTGTAGCCTTTGATGCTTTCAAAGAGAGAATTCATTCTGGCTTATTCATGCTTCTGGTTGGAGTCTTGTTGGAAAATCTCTCCAGTTTCCAAACCAATAGAAGGAGGGGGTGAATAAGAGGACAGAGATGGCTCTTTGTCTGTGGGCATTGTCCCATTATTATCCCCTCCTGGGGACTGGAGAAGAATGTTTAATAACGGCTAATAACTATGTATCAATAATCTGCTGCACCCCAGGCACTGTCCTAAGCCAATTACAGACCTGATTTCACTTAACTTCCCTACAGCCTTTTCAGGTCGTTACTGTCGTTCATTATCCCCAACCAGTCCAAGGTCACATTGTCTAATTCCGAATGACCTTAAGACCTGTGAGAAGAGCTAATGGGCTTGATGAAAGATGGGGGGACTGACCTTTCCGGAGGTTAGGCCTCCCGTGCAGTCCAGAGACAGAAGCAGAAATCCACAACTGCTTCTCTAGCCCTCTGGCCAGTGCTTCCAGATTTGCATGTGCCTCAGAGTTCCCCTAGGAGATCTCGTAAAAATGCTGATTCTAATTCAGCAGGTCCAGTGAGATGCCGCATTTTTAAGGAGCTCCCAGGTGATGCCAGGATGCTGGTCCACAAACCACACTTTGAGCCTCTGTGGATCTCATCCAGAATGTAGTCCTGCCCACTCGGGTGGCTTTAGCAGAAAGTTAACAGCCAGTCTGTTTGCAGAGAAAGGCCTCTTCCATGTGAATTTCATCGTTTATAGAAACTCATTGTTTGTTTGCTTGAAACACTGAACACATTTTCAAGCAAACAATGAGTCTGCTTGACTCCATCTCTCTCTCTCTCTCCATATATATATATATATATATATACACACACACACACAAATATACATATATATATATATACACACACACACACACACACAGAGAGAGTGCGACATGGAATGCAAAGGCCTCTACCAAGAGAATTTCATCTCTCTCTCTCTCTCTGAGAGAGCGGAGTCTCACACTGTCGCACAGGCAGGAGTGCAGTGATCTCAGCTCACTGCAACCTCTGCATCCTGTGTTCAAGCAATTCTCCTGCCTCAGCCTCATGAGTATCTGGGATTACAGGTGCCCACCACCACACCTGGCTAATTTTTTGTATTTTTAGTAGAGATGGGGTTTCACTATGTTGGCTAGGCTGGTCTCAAACTCCCGACCTTGTGATCCACCCACTTCAGCCTCCCAAAGTGCTTGGGTTACAGGCATGAGCCATCAGGCCCAGCCTCAAATCCCATATTTCTGAAGCTCCATTCAAGCTTTGCTGTGCAGTAGGGTCAAACATGCTGTCAATTTGCAGACTAGCTGGTTTTTCCAAATGGACTGCAACTTCCACATCCCCATAGCCACCTCAGTTCAGATATGAAGGCCTAGGAGGGCAGAGGGCAGAGGGCAGAGGTAGTACGTGAAATACAGGCCAGAGACTGTCCATAGTGTGGGTTTCTGGTTTGGCTGCTAATGTTATGAGTTTTTAACTTAGTGGAAGATTTATCAGCTTCATAATCAATCACCTTTATGTCAATATTTATGTTATTTTGATAGCGACATTTGGACCATCTGAAGAGATGACCTTAAAGTCAGGGATATTTAGAGGGAAAGCTGATGCCACTAATACATCCTAGTGTATGAAGCTGAGATAGATAACAAGAATTGGATTGTGTTTATCATTAGCCAGACACTAGCCAGACCTCCTTTTGGTTAATGTTCAGGTTGGCTGAATAATCTGGACACGCTCTCTCTCAATATCTTTCTCTCCTCTTGCCCCCCTCTCCTTCTCTCCACCTCTTTCTTCTTCTTTCTCTCCCCCACTTTCCTCCCCCTCTTTATCCCCCTTTCTCTCTCTCTCTCACACACATACACACACACACACACACACACACACACCCATTCACACACACACACACCCATTCAGACACACACACACTGCTGTGATCACCTTGTATTATACAATAACACTTTCACTGACCACGGGCAAGCTGGGTGGGGGACGCTGCAGGCAAGAATACTACTGCACCCCTCACCTGCCCCCTTCTGTGTGGCACAATTATTTGGGTGGTGCTTTGTACCATCTGAGAATAGAATTTTTGTATTATGTTCAAGAGGACATGTTTCAAATCCAGTTGGCAACATGGTATACAAAGAGAGCACTGGGACCGTTCACCGAACCAAAACACTTGATGAGGTATGGAGAGGCTCAGTGGTTAGTAAAACACAATGCCTGACCTCAGGGAGCTTGCCATCTCATGGGGCAACAGACCTGATACTAATGGGATTGGTTCAACCATGTGTTAGAAGGATAATTTTGTGCAGACTTGAAACCAGTAGGATTGGTTGAACAGAGACCCAGAGGGCTATGGGGGCTCTGTCTTCAAGAGCCAAGGGAGTAACTTTTGAGCTGAATTTCATTCTAAGAGGATTCCAGGTGAAAGGGACAGCCATGTGTTCTAACTCATGCTCAAAAGTACAGAGTCAGCAAAGGTCATGTGTTGAATCTATATTGGAAACACCTTTCTCACTGATGTCTGCATTTTACATTTGTAAAAACTGAGGCTCAAAGAATAGAAATGGCTAAATTAAACGGCACTGGGGGAAGCTCCATATAGGAGGGGGCAGCTCGATAAAGGAGGGGACATTTGATGAGAGCCCTGAAAGATGCATAGGTTGTTGCCTGGTGAAGGGGAGGATACCCAGATTCAAGACAAATCACCAAGGAGTGGGAGAGAAAGTAGGCAAAGAGAAGAGTGCACAAAATCCGGGTGCCTATTACAGAAAATGATTGGCAGGCATGTTTTCTCCAAGGCTACTGTGCCTCTTAGGGACTAAGCATGGGCTGGAACCCAGGTCCCTGAATCCCAGTTAGGGTACCCACTTGCTACAGCATTGTAGACACCCTGACCTTGAAATCTGATACAGAACCCCATCTTTTCTCTTTGGGGGGAATTCCTTGTCTCCAGCTCATCTCCTTCCTTCCCTGTCCCCTGATCCCTCCTTCCACCTTGTTTCCAGACTCTAGGCAATAAGAAATCTGCAATGTCTCTGCTCTGACTCAGTGGCACCTTCGATTTCCTAGGATTGTGCCTAGGATTTGCTTTGTACACAAGTCAGAAAGGGATGTCTTCCAAGTCACTGGCACACAACTCTGGCATGTATTACATCAGGCAAGAGAAATGAGCGAATGCTCCAGCAAACAGCTATGGTGGAAACCAGATTTCATTTGTAGAGTCGTTAGTTGGTATTAACACTGTGTCCTAATTGTGTTTTCCTGAGCAGTGGCACAGAACTCTTAATGACTGGAGAGATCTAAAGGAAGCTTATTATCTCCCAAGCACCACTCTGGTGGGGCATCTGCCTCGCACAGGGTGCCAGCCTACGTGTTTCTGAGGTGATGGAATGCTCCCATAATAGTGAGAGCATTAAGAGTTTAGCAGAGCAAATGTCTGCAGGCACCCTGCTATTCTGCCTTGACACAGACTCTCAGGCACGTGGACTCTTTGCCCCTGTTACAAAAGAACGGAGAAATGGACTTCCTTCTTGGTCAGATTACATTTTTCACAGCAGTTTGCTAAATGTGTCGGCAAGCGTAGCTCTCCTCCCAGGGGTACAGACCTGCTGGTGACTTGAGAACATTATGGCTTTATGGGCTGTTGCAAGAAATTTCATTTGCCTGAAAGATTCTTGCAAGATTGGAGTTACAAAGTTCATCAGAAATACACTGAACGTGGCTCCTCAAGCCTATGGGTGGCTGTCCATGGTGCTGACCACCCTTTAGCGCTGCCTAAAACCCCACTGATGGCAAACCAGCCTCTCCTAGGGATCTGTACTTTTTTCCTCCTGTTTTTTCCTTCCTAGCTTAAGACATTATGAAGCTTACACTATCACTGAAAAAATAGATACCTTATTTATGGTACACAATTTACATGGTGAATTTTGTGTGCTGTTGTTAATTCTGGCAATTTTTTGTCTCCCAAAGTTAGAAGAATTTTGTGCAGTGCTTTGCTTTATGTTCACTGATACTCCATTTCAACTACTTCTGCTGAGGGGAACCCTCAGATGATCAGCAAAGAGTCCCATTTGCCTGAAAGCCAAATGTGGGAGAGCAAACCTATTCTCTCCCATGGACAGCACCATGGGAACAATGCAGGTTTTAGAATCAGGCATACAGTGTTTCTGTCCCAACTCTCTCACTGAACAGCTGTATTGACTTAGGCCAAGCCACTTGTTCTTTCCAGGCATCAGGTGCCTCATCTATAAAATAAAGACAATGCCAATCTTTCACAATTTCTGTGGCCACCAAGTGAGATAAAGTCTAGAGAGCACCAAGCACAGTGCCTGTTACAGAGTAGCTTCTTCCTAATGGAAGCTCCCCAGTTCACTCCAAGAAACACCCAATTCAAGCGATTTGAATTTCCAACAGCCCATAGGAGCCTTT